AATCGGACATTTGAATCCTTAAAGTCTACTTAAAGTTGTACTGGTGGAAGGACCTCTTGTGAGTCTGCACGAGTAGGCACCACTACTCCGCCTATTTCTATCGTAAAGCAGCAATGCGTTTCGGTTTGAAGGATGGGGTAGCCGTTGTAACTATACTGAGACTTTAGAACTTATATCTCAAGTTGGGTGGCGCATTTACGTTGTAGATATCAATGGGCTCCAGTGACCACTTAACTACAGGTGGGCTGTGAGCTCGTCCAACCATCTCAGCAAAAAAATTATAATACTTATCCGTTTTTATTCTGTTGCTTGATAAGCAAATCTAAATAGAGAGGCTCTTTAAATATGTGAACGAGCACAATGCATAACTCACAATGCTTAAAAATATGTTTACCTTGTACGAGGCTATCGATTACCAAATCTGACAACAATATTATCAATTTATAAATGTATTGAATGGAACTATTGTGAAGTGAAGAGCCGACGACGAACCGTCGAATGCGTGGTAAATGCAAGCTCTCGACCTTTTTATATTGTTTGTTACTGGTTCAAGTTCATTTACCGACTAGGAAAAGAATATGTACTTGGATCTTGATGAGTTATGTAGGCAAAGTAAGAGATTGAAAAGATTTGCGTCATTATCGTTGTCGTGGAATGACCAGGAAAAGAATGGAGTGGCAGGAACTGTTTTCAAGTATTCAAGGATCAAACACCGCAAAACATCTATTGTTGACTAGCTGACCCGGCAGACTTCGTAGTGCCTCAATCGATAAATAAAAGACCTAAACTTTTGTATAAATAAACTTAAAAAGAAAAGGAATCCGTCCGACGGAAGACACATTAAAGGAAAAACAAATTTTTTATTTATATTTAATTCCGAACATTTTCATATTTATCTACCTTTTAAACCTTCTCTGGACCTGCACAAATAATTCAAGACCAAAATTAACCAAATCGGTCCAGCCGTTCTCGAGTTTTAGTGAGACTAACGAACAGCAATTCACTTTTATATATAATATTTAGATATAGATAAATTTACTCCGCCAGTGTTTATTCTGTTCTCGAAATTGAACCATTATCAAATGACGCTTTATATTTCGCTCATATTTAGATTCATTTTACATATTACATTTTTTTTATTGTTAGCAAATTATCAAACAGACTAAACTAATTGAAAGTCTGCTGTGCTGCTTATAATAAATGGTGACTACGCTAAATGTTTTATCATTTATTATACCAACAAAGCTAATGCTAATAAATAGTTTGGTATATTATTAAAATTGAAGGCTTATGCGTTAGTTTCTTCGTGATCTATAGACTCGCGTGACTTTTATACGATCGATTTTTTTTGTGAGGAAATCGTATTGCTTCCGATCACGCTTCGATTGAGTTGAAAAATATGTATGTACAGTAGTTGTAGGATTAAGGTGTAAGGCTTCTGACGTACTGGTATCTAACGATGTGATTAAGCCGTTGTTGAAAACGCGGAGGCAGGTACCAATTTTTAACAACACACGTCCACGGATTACTTCCACATTTTTTTTTATTTTTTTTTTATTGCTTAGATGTGTGGACGAGCTCACAGCCCACCTAGTGTTAAGTGGTTACTGGAGCCCATAGACATCTACAACGTAAATGTGCCACCCATCTTGAGATATAAGTTCTAAGGTCTCAGTATAGTTATAACGGCTACCTTACCCTTCAAACCGAAACGCATTACTGCTTCACGGCAGAAATAGGCGGGGTGGTGGTGCCTACCCGTACGGACTTACAAGAGGTCCTACCACCAGTAGGGCTTAAACTAAACTAAATAGCCTTTCACCCCAATGTCGCGTATTTTCACTTAATACGCGACATTTATCTTTGTAATTAAAGGTGCGTTTTAAATGGTATTAGCATTAACAGTTCGATGTGTTTAATTAACTTACATATCTGAAAAAGTTTTTGGTTATAATATTTTTTTAAAATTTTAAGCTTTAAATAGGTAAAGTTCCTGTAAAGTTGCAAAATTGTCGCTTAAACCATGAAACCTTCCATTTTATTTACTTGGGACGGCTTTTAAGTCCTATTAAAATTAAACAATGATTATTTCTGCACCAATATAGGTACAATGGGCGGTATACCCAACTGATACTCATTAAAAAATACACGACGAAAACTAATTGAATCAAACCACTTCTCAATATTTAGGACGTAGTTTTTACATATTTAACTATGACATGCATGAAATGAATTGAGAAGTGAGTTGTATGTACAATAAAAGGATTCATAAAAATATATGCTAGCCAATTTTATCTATTGGTCGTAACTAGAATATCCGCATTCGTAATGTCTATGCGATTGCATGAAATATTTTGCTTTGAAATGATCTAAGCCATTATTGTGACGTGAAGTAAGGTTAGCACATTGAAATTGTTTGGTACGGTTTCCAGCTAAATTTAGATCATTCAAATTATTATGTTTTTATTTCACATCACTATTAGACAAAAAAATTTGCAAATATAACTTAAATATTAGAAATTGTACCGTGTAATATCATATAAAGAAATATTGAATTTTTAATAACTTTCAGAATTAACATTGATTTATTTTGAGATGATAGGATTGCGTCCAGGTACCTTGTCCTAGCGAAGACAGATGGGCGAATATAGGGGCTCAGCTAGGAGGGGAAGGTTTTAAACCACCCGAGCATCTCTAAAGGAGGCCTGATAGACTCAAAGGCACTTTTGTGAGTCGAATGGCAATCGTTTAGAGGTTAGGGCGTGTAATGATTTATGGGGTCTCCCTCGCGTCGTTTCGGCAGAGTGTGGACAGTCTAGTCTTGATCTGCAGTTGGTCTAAGATAGACGGATTGCTTCTCTTCGCTGGCCAAGGTATCCGGAGCATAATGTTCTTAAATTCAAATTGAAAAAAAAAACCTTATGATTTTCAACTGTCAGCATAGCATACAAAAAAAAGCAATTTTTTTCTTCTAAAGATATTATTTTATTGCAATCCATACGTAAGAGGTACCAGATACATTTAAAGTAGTTGCTCAAGCTTTTGTCATTGTATAATGATGTTCAACGATTTTTATGTTTTGTGTATGCGAATGTAACTAGTAATACATACCGTAGAACGATCTTTACCGCATATTCCGACATCATTAAAATTAAATGTATCATTAACTAAAAGCCCGGGAATCTATTTATGTAGTTTAAAAACGGTGCAGATCTGTTTTTAGATTGGCTTGATTAATGTTTAGTAGTTCATATTATAATGGATTTTTTATTTGTAACAGCTCATTGCTAGAGAAATCGTTTATGCTTTTAGCTTCGTTGTAATGCTTTGAGAGCTTTAGAGAACAGACTGAACTAAACGCGAGGCTGAATTAAAATTAAAAAAATCAAACTTATTTTTCTTTAAATTGCGTTTTGACGGGTGAATGAGTTCACTGTACAACCGGTGTTAAGTGGTCACTGTAGGCTTTAGTTTTAACTGTTAGGCTTTTTAACGTCATGACGTGATATGAAGTCGGAATCTCGCTTGTATTCCATGACGACTTTGTCCGCTGAGTTTCTCGGCGGATTTTCTCAGTGGGTTGCATCTCCGATCCGGTGGTAGATTCTGTGAAGCACTGTTCTTACTAGGACTAGTGTTAGCAACACTCCCGGTTTGAGCCCCGTGAGCTCACTTACACGTCAAGGGGAAGCTGAAATAGCCTCTCAAGGCTATCAACATAGGTAAAAGAAAGACGACTGCTTGCACTTTACGGCAGAAGTGCGCATTGTGGTTTCCCTTTTTAATATTTATTAACTATGGTATTCGTGTTAACTGTTTCATCTATTTCATAGGAAGCATTTATGAATTTCATCATCATAAGTCTGTACTATTGAACGTAAGTTTTAATCTTAAATCTGAATAGTTGTCAGTGCTTGTTTTGAGTCCGAAACGATTTTTCAATAAAATTTATGTTATTAGTATTTGTCAGTTCTCGTAACCACTAAAGAAGAGAGCCGTTTATCCATAACTATATATATGAAAATGAATTGCTGTTCGTTAGTCTCGCTAAAACTCTAGAACGGCTAACGTTTTGGCTAATTTTGGTCTTGAATTATTTGTATAAGTCCAGAGAAGGTTTAAAAGGTAGATAAATATGAAAATGCTCGGAATATAAATAAAAATAACAATTTTGTTTTCCCTTTGATGTGTGGGGACACGGACGTCGGACGGATTCCTTTTGTTTGTTTTAAGTTTATTTTACACAAAAGTTTAGGTCTTTTGTTTATCGATTGAGGCACAACGAAGTTTGCCGGGTCAGCTAGTTCGCTAATAAAACCAAATTAATGGCAAATTGATTAATAACAAGTTTGCCAAATTATTAATGAACGAAGATTAAACAGAATCAATTAATCCCTCCATTAGTCGAAAATGAGCCTGTGTGTCTGTTCGTGACCACTTAGCCATTAATGGGTCTTGCGTAAAACGCTTACCTCGATACTTACAAACGAATCGGGGTAAAACATTAAGTTTTGCAAACTGTTTAGTGCCATCGTATTATCGACCTTGAATGTATTTAGAAAGCTCTTAATGTTGTTAACGTAGGACGTGTTAATCGTAAACTTTTTAAATATTTCGAGTGGTTATTATTTATTTTCTATATTCACGAATCGATACAAAAATAAGAAGTGTTATAAGTGTGATAATTAGAGCCACGTTAACAGATTTGTACTAAGCGCAGTCTTCTACCCCTTCTAACCTTTTTATTGCTGTAACAAGTGAAAATATAATATAAATATTTTATTGTTATTTTTCTTCTGTCTGTTCGAGTGATGAATGTTTTAATTCTTTATTTTTTCTTGTACCTTGCTCGAAAGATATCGTTACTTTTTGAACGAACGAACGTTGATGACAAAAATTGTATGACAAAGACAAAGTGGACGTAGCTCAATTGAATTTGACGTAAGTCAATTATAATGCGTTATGTCTATGTCTAATAAGATAAAATCTCAATTTTAATAATGTTCTTTGTATTTTTCAATTTATTGAGTAACGTTATCTTCGTAAAATGTTCCCTTGATATTACTAATGCAGAACTAACCTATTTATCTCAACGTTTGACTTTAAACGAGTGTCGCCTCTTACTAACTACATTGTATGCAAAATCTTACAATACATCAGATAACTTGATTTCGATTCCCAAATCTATACCAAACAAGGCGACTTGTCTTAAACTTCTATTAGAATGGAATCGTGGAGATGCTGACTTAAGAGATAATGAAAAATGTCATCTTGATGTGGCACATATAATGCGTAAACTAAAAAGAGATGATCTAGCAGATTGGTTAGAAAAATCAGTATTCAAAAACCTAGCTAAAGATGTTAATGATACTTTGAATAACGCTTTTAGAGCCGATTCTGGAGGACAACTAAAGAAGAAATTGTATTTGGGAGATAAAGTCATTGAAAACGAACATAATTGGAGTGTATTTGAATACCTTCTGGCATTATTTCTCATAAGTGTTGTAATTATAGTAATGATAAATTTTTATCGTTTATTGACTCTTGTTTGTAGAAGAGACGAAAAGAAGAAGCCTGATGAAGAAACAATAGATCTTCTCAGTCGAGGATCGGAAAGCGACCAAGAAGTTGTATTTGATTATAATTTAATTTATAAAAGAGATAAAAAGATGACTGAAACTCTACAGAGTGATTAATATAAAACGTCATGTTCCACACTTACTCTTTAATTTACTGAATAAATGGATTGTTAAGTGAATAAATCCTACCTAACAGATTTCATTAAAAAAATTGAATGCTTGAACCGAAACTAAGTGATGATATTTTAGACCTAACAGAAATAAATGTTGTTACAGTAGCAATATTTTACTGAATGTACTATTTGAGTTATGTGAGTGTAGTTTTAATTGTTTTATAAAATATGTATGATTAATATAAAATATTGACAGTCATATCGATGTAACAGTAAAGAGAAATTCAAACACCAAGCTTTTTCATTCCACCATAAAAGAGCTATTTGACAAACAGCTGATCTATTGGACGTTTAGAAACTATACCCATTAGATGTTTTAAACTGCTCAGAAGATTACATTTAATTATATTTGTGACGAGGAAAAGTAAAGGAAACAAACGCTCATTAGATTATTTAAATGACTCGCAGACGTTGTAGGTTTTAGGCCCTCTAATCTTCTAATTACAAGTCGAGTCACCTGTAACTGAGTCAAAATCTCGATTGAACACTGTCCCTTGGCTAACTAGCCGCGTGTAGGATTGCGCACACGCAGCCATCGCACGTGTCATCGGGTCCGGTCCTCGATAAGCCTCATTAGGGGACAGGCTTAACTTCATCAGTTGATATTGGACTCCGATGCGGGGGACTCGGACGATAACTGTATTTTAGTATAAAGTTTACGTTTTTTAATTTGCCTTTGTATTACTTTGTAGTTTTATATATTGTTTGATTATATTAAGCAACTGCTTTGACTGTTTATTATATTTGATTGAGTCATTAATAATTAAAAATTAGTTCGTGGCTTCACATTTAATTTAGGTGAACAAAATGTGATATTTATTAAGATTGAATGTAGACAGGATGAGCAAGCAGAAAACGTCCTATACTGGAGGTTGTCAATTTGAAGATGTTTTACTTCCCATTATCTTTGGACAGTGTAGCCATTATTAAAGGATCGTGTAATTATATCTTGTGTTTTGTAATAGATAGTTAATGGCTTTTAATTAGTTAATATCTATATTTGTTGTCGCAAATAGAAGAACAGGCGGCACATGGTCACCAATAATGCCCCGGGCATAACTATCCCGCTGCCTACCATCGTTCTCATGATTAAAAATATTTAAACCAACTATTAGAATGTTACTACGTGGAAGAGGAAATGCCATGACCGGGACTTGTGGCAGGATTTGGGGGAGGCTATGCGAAAGCAAAACAATCTTTGCCGATGTCAAATGTTTAGAAAAAATTACATTAATATGTAATTTTTTACAGTTAATTAAAAATTACAGTTACATTTGGAAAAATTAGATATTAATGTAAATTTTCTAAACATTTGACATCGGAAAAGATTGTGTTACTGTTAAGTATGTACCTAAATATGAATTAAGGTTGTTAATAAAAGCTTCTTTATTAGAATGCTAACAGCTGGATCAGTACTACCTATTAACACCCACGTTTTCGATTTAGCTAAATCGACATTAAAATAATTATGGTTCAGTAGAACTTGTTTGTTTACAGTACATTTAATGATAGTCGTATCTCTGATCAAATAATAAAGAAGCAATAAAACTTTCGTACCCCAAAGCGAACCTAATAGAAATTAACATAAACTAGCGATCTAATATTAACGGTTCTTTATACGTACGATAGTATAACAGTATTTGAAAAGCTAGTTATGAATATTGATGGAGAAAATATGTATGTAATTCAATATTTATCCTTGCCGTATTTATTTTTGTTTTGATAGAAACGCGAGCAGACATTAAATCTGTGTCAATACTGTATGAATAACTATTCGTTGGAAATGACAGAATGAATGAAACTACTGATTCTTGCAACGACTGCTCTTTAGAAAATTTTAGAAGCAGCTAAAACACAAGCAAACTTAAAAGGTCTGCTTTAAGTTTTTTAAATAATCAAGCAAATTAATAATTTAAACTAACGCATTTATTAGGCTGAAAGGGGTATTCCACTATTGTTGTCGGAGCCCATAGGTCATTAACGTTCCGACGCATTTTGAATTGTGTTCCTAATTGTTATGAATGTGAATACTTACTAATTGTTATAAATTATCACGTACTATTTATTATTTAACGGCTTATTTTCTACGATTTTAAGTTTTAATGAATTTCCGATTTTTCAGCGCAATTACAAGTGGCTCGAGCACATGTAGTCTTCAGTCCAGCAGTCCCTTTGGTGTGTGCCAGTTAAATAAAAGTATTTAAAACTGTAATACTGTTACTGCCAGTCTGATAGGGTCTTGTGAGTTAACGACATTTGAGTGATCCACAAGATTTGCAAATAAATTATGAACATATTTTAAACGTCCCGCAAATCATAATCTAAATCGATTAAGTATCTATAGCTTGTATTTAAAATTAAATTCTAAAGTAAATTGGATTAAGAGCGTTAATCAAGCGAACGGTTATCTTTGTAGAGACATTTTATGCATAGCACTCAGCACGTGCGCGCTCATTATTAATAGCTATACAGCGACAGCAAGTATTACGGGCATTAGTTATTTTCAAAGTGTTTTAATGCCACTCAGTACTGTATCTAGTTCGCCACTTATAACCCATAGTGTGGGCGTGTATGGATTATTTTAATACATTTCAATCGATTTCCTTTCGAGCCGATAAACTGATGGTTTCTAGGTTGATCTGTTATTCCTGATATCTGAGCGTAGGTATTCATTTTATGTCGTTTATAATGAGTATATTGGAATATTACCAGAAACGAAGACAGGCAAATTTAAATTATAAATTATATAATTTTCCTGTTGTTTTTTTGTTGCAAGCAGTTTAACTTAAAATGTATTAACCACTTCCAATGACTTTGCTCTAAGTTAGGGATCGAAAACGTCATGTCAATGAAATAAATATTCATTGCTAGCTCAGTAGACGTGTCTCCTTTACTTTGGGATGGTATTGTAATTTCGTTTTGACTACGGGTCTATTTGCGATTCGGCCTTTTAGCGGACCGTTTTTGAATCACTGATAAATACTCTAAGCGAACGTGGTGTTTTAATCAATACTGATATTGCAACTTAAAAATTCTGGCGGATACCACGTTCATAAGGCATTACGGTGCCCACAATTGAGTTGTTTTAAAAAAAAAGAAAATATTGTTTTGTGTTTTTTTTATTGCTTATCCCCAATATCAAGTGGTCACCGAATTACTGCTTCACAGTAGGCTGAATGGTGGTGGTATATACCCGTGCTGGCTCACAAGACGCCATATCACCAGTAGTTTCGCAAGTTATAATTTTTGCGGGTTTGGTTTTTATTATCCGATGTTAATGCTTCACCGTGGAAGTCATTCAAGATAATTTTTAAGTACGTATTTCATTAGAAAAAATAGTGCCTGCCTCCGGGATTCGAACACCGACACAGTCGTATCGCTCAATATGGACGCACCAGGCGTCTTATCATTTAGGATACAGCGAGTTCATAAATACGTAATCTATATCTATACTTCTATACTAATATTATAAAGAGGAAAGATTTGTTTGTTTGTTTGTTTCGAATAGGCTCCGAAACTACTGGATCGATTTGAAAAATTCTTTTTCTATTAGAAGCCGACAGTGTCCCTGATGAACATAGGCTACTTTTTTTTATTTATTTTTTATTTATTTTTTTGGTTTCATGTGTGTTTTAATGTTTCCGAAGCGAAGCGAGGCCGGGTCGCTAGTATACTATAATTTTGTACTTAGTGCTAGGTATAAATAATATTCATAACAAGCACCTGTATTAATTTTTTGGAATTTTTTTTTAATACGCTCTGTATATTTATTTTATAAATACAGGGTTTATTTATGGTTAAGTTTGTGATTTTAAAAAGAAATAGTAGTACTTTAAGTACTACATATTTAACGAATTTATTTTCCTAATTACTTAGCTTACTGTTCATTTTACCTTTACTTAGTGAAATTCCCGAACCATAATGCAAAACGCAAAAACACTATCGCATGTTGAAAAAAAATCTGTTCCTAAGTAAATAATTGAGTTCACCGAACCTTGCCGATATTCTCACAAATTAAATAACATCACACACGATTGAGGAAATTTGCAATTATAAAAAAATTTCGGATGCACAGATTAGGCGTCTACATCAACTCCATTAAGCGATGATTAGGCATAATCAGTTGTTAACCAAATAACTCTTTACTAATAGTTTCCGTTCGAGGCGGATCTTCAAGAAATGGTAAGTGTCTTTTTCTCACGGTGTTGTAGACACGTTTGGACGGCAAAGGGATAATCATAAGACTAAGTTGAACAGAATTTTTAACACTGAAAAATAGCGAGTAATAAATTAATGAAGCAACATACAATTTTAAACGAGGTTTGCGAAGAGTACCCAGCAATAGGCTGTGCTTTGGATTTGCCTCTGATATTGCTGATGTCCATGAGCGGCGGTAACCACTTACCATTAGGCAGGACATAAGCTCGACTTCCTAAAAGCCCAATAAAAAAGCTACTATTCACATCTTTTGGCGTGTTTTATCTGTTGAATGTTTAGGAGAGGCTTGTGTCCAGCGGTGGACATCTGTGGGCTGATAATAATGTACGAGATGATTTTAACCTAAGTCACGCTGGTTGACGTGGGAACGTACAATAGCTTTGTGTTGTATAGGCTTAAAATATGGACCCGTCTCTTCTGATAGCAAACACCTACGGGGCGAGAAAATTGAATAATAAATTCACTTTTTTGCACGGTTTTACCAAGCATTGACATTCGGATTTTCATAGTATAATATACTTTATATTAGGATAAAGACAAAAAATTTGGTTTAATATAAAAGTGTTTGTTCGTGGGTCTAATGAGAACAAATTTGAATGTACATCCGGATCGAACTTCAGGTTAAACATCTTCAGTGAGCATCCAATTGGCGTTAATCAACAGATTACTGATTACCACTCGATAAATGCTCATAACTAGCTGAATTATAGCTAATGAATTAATACTTTTTAAATATTTTTCCCAGGGAAATTATATTAGAATAGTGAAAGTTTGAATTAATAGATTAAGTAATTTTTGTAACTATGAATCAGGATGAGCACCTCTTATTCTTTAACTCACTTTAGAATTTAGAGTTCACGTTTTTGATGACGTCTCTTTGAAATTTGGAACTTTTATAAAGTTGTTTTCATTTCTATCTTTTTAACACGTAATACTAACGAATTTTATTAGTTTTTTTTACCCAAACGTTGGTTATCTAGGGGCTATTCTAACTATGCGCGGACTGGTATAGCAAGCTCACGGGGCTCATCCTGAGAGACTTGTTTCTAGCCTAGCCTAAGCTGCGCGTCAAATTCATCGCATTTATCTAGAATAATCTAGATCGACGAGAACGGTGACCGGTGCTTGGAGATCCTAAAATCACCGAGAATGGATCGGAAAGATCCGATAGGACATGTTTGGGCTTTGCGTTGCCCCGTCGCGGCGTCGCCTGGGTTGGGTATGTAATTAGAGGCGACCAAGATAAGAGAGTTATCGTGTTGCGCCACAATTTCGAAGAATTCGAATCAAATTTAGAGAGAGAGAGAGAGAGAGAGAGAATACATTTTATTGCACACCAAAACACAATTTACATTCAAAAAACAGTAAAAAAGATGATACATTTGTATAATAAGCGGTCTTATCGCTAAAAGCCATCTCTTCCAGACATCCGTTTAATTTAGAGAAATTCTGGAAAATATAAAAAAAAATATAGCTGCAAATTTAATTGCATTTAATTTTGAAATTCGCTTATGTAACTGGTATCAATTCCGTATCAGAGCCGTTGACAATACAATAAGTGCCAGTGGCCTGTTCGGCGTATAAAAACCGAGAGAAAGACAAGTTGGAGAGTAGCAGATGAGTATACAAATTAGCTTTTTCTTTCTTCATCGTGCCGCCGAACAACATTACTAAGGTTACGCTTTGCTTTGCACGCATTGTGTACGCAACACCAAATTCTATAAATATAGATAGCTTAGCTAAAATTGGTATGGCATTGTTTTAAATTACAAATTGTTTTTTATTTTTTTACCGCAACTAATTCACTGTATCCTAGCGCGCCTGCCTACTTTGAGAGCCGTTGCATTAGAATACTAGCATTTTTTGTAGCAAATAGATTTAATTTATAAGATTCACAAAAAGTTTAAATTTCATGGAGTCATATTTATTATCCTATATATATATACTTGTAAAAATACTGTAACTGACAGCTGATTAAAAAAAAATTATAACCAAAATCCCATACATTACATCAAAAACCAAACTTCACTCGGAAGCGTGATCATTCAATTACCCGTGATAACTCGTCAATATCGAAGCCTATCAATTTGTCTGTCCGTCCGTCCTACCACTTCATAGCAGTTTTAAGCTCATTTCGAAATCTTACTGGTTAATTATGAGCAGAATTTAAAGTAACATTTTGTGATTTTATTGAAAGACTAGCCGTACTCGCCCGCTTCGCTGGGCATTTAAAAATAACATTATTATTTATTGTCATTATTATTAGGGAGTCCAACACTCATATAAATATTAGCCTATCCATTAAGTACATGTATTTTCTACATGAATACCGAGTTTCAAGTCAATCGGATGCATGGTTCAGTAGTTATAACGCAAAATCCGTAAAAACCACTGTAGATTTATATATCAGTATAGATGTTCTTGCTTGGACAAGGTTCACAGAAGAATGAAGTTGTAGTACTTTTGTATTTATTATTGTACTAGCGACCCGCCCTCGCTTCGCTTCGGAAACATTAAAACACATATGAAACCAAAAAAACAAAATAAATAAAAATTTAAAAAAAGTAGCCTATGTTCATCAGGGACAATGTCGGCTTCTAATGGAATAAGAATTTTTCAAATCGGTCCAGTAGTTTCGGAGCCTATTCGAAACAAACAAACAAACAAATCTTTCCTCTTTATAATATTAGTTATTGTATTTATTTATTTTATTATTGTATTTATTTTGTATTTTTGCTTTATATCTTACTTACCTTTTGATCACCAAAGCGCATCTGCCTCCGAGCATTTCTGGCCACATTCATCCGGCACAAGAACACCCTGTCTTCTCCATCGGCCGGTGACCTGGTCAACTCGGTTCTAACAGCTTGTTGATCCTGCTTATCTATGACGTCGTATACACTATCCCCGTGGATTAGGAGATCTTCCTGTGAAAAAACAATTGAGTTAATAACCGTTTTTTTGTTATAATAATTAATAAATTATGTAACAAATAATAATATATTATAAACGAACGAATTTATAAACTGTTTTGATTAATAATGTTCACCGTCATGTACTATAGAATTTTAATTATTATTGTTATTGCGTCAAAAGTAAAGATGAACGATAGGAAGACAATACAAAAAAAAAGTAAATTAAATATCCAGATATTTTCAAAATGAAACGTTTAGAACATCAAAATTGTTTCGCGTCTTTCAAAAATTTTTGTAAGGCAAACAAGTGTCTACTGCAAAAAGGGAGTATGCGCGGGTATAACATTTTTATTTCCTACCTAAGCTGATGGTCTTGAGAGACCATTTCAGCGTAACCTGGACTAGTAGGTGAGCTCACGGTGCTCAAGCCTGTCTGTGAATCTACCACCGGATCGGAAACGCCAATGAGCTAATAAAACGGCCGTCTGGTGTAGTGGTAAGTGACATGGTCACTACACAAGGGGGTCGCGGGTTCGAATCCCGCCAAGGGAAGATATTTGTATGATAAATATAAATGTCTTTCCAGGGTTATGGGTGTATATTAAATATATGTATGTGTATAATAAAAATATTATATTTATTTCCGTTATCTGGTACTTGTAACACAAGTTCTTTACGAACTTAGCACGAGCCCAGTTAACGTGGCGTAATTGTTAGTAAAAAAAAAAAAAAAAAAGCGGCTGTCACAATTCCGGTGAAGTATTGTATTCTAAAAAATTGCGTAATTTCGCAAATTTAATTTCTTGCTCACCTAAAACACTATTAAGTAAATAAATAGATTTTAGTACCCAATAACATGCGTTTTAAATTTCATACATATTTTGAGGTGTGAGTAAAAGACGAAGAACTAGTAAATGTATTAAGAATCTTTAACGGAGCTGATCCAACAACAAACGGTCACAAAACTCGGATAATTTAAATGTATAAAATTTATATCGCTGGCCATTTCAAATTTACATTATTATTTCTCACCACCACAAAGATTCTCATCATTATCGCTCCCGCAATTGGCGTAGGAAGTCCAACACTCATATAAATATTAGCCTATCCATTAAATACATGTATTTTCTACATAGACACCAAGTTTCAAGTCAATCAGATGCATGGTTCAGTAGCTATAACGGAACATCCGTAAAAACCACTGTAGATTTATATATTAAGTATAGATAAAGCAATTTCTGAAATGGAACGAAATTATTTTATTTTAAAACGATTACATAACAGCAGATGTTGATCAAAAACAATAGCGAGACGCAGGAAACAAAGGTGCCGAGTCTAATATTAAAATAATACGGCCTGCGGTCGGCGCACTGATGAAATTGTCGAGGTAATCTCGCTAAGTACACGCCTCTTTAAAAATAAAAGCGTTTGCTATGAGTTTGCGGCGACGGATTTTGTGTCGTGTTCCGCAATTAGCGTTCTTTGTAATGAGCCCGAATGCTTCACTCAAAGGGAAATGCCCATTTCAGGTCCAAAGTGGGCAATAGATTAGAGAAAAAATACTCAGTGCATTTATTTTGGCATAAATAAATTAATATGCATTTACTTTCTTCCGAATGAGCGCCACTACAGTTTACAGTAAGTAGTTTAAAAAAGTAGCTCTATTGAAAAAACAAGGTTTTTGATTTTTTTGAGATATCCAATACATTTAAGAATTTGAAACAGTCCATTTTTATAGTAATACAAACTAACAAACAAATCTTTCCTCTTTATAATATTAGTATAGAGTATAGATTACTTTATTCTATCGTCAATAGTTTTCGCAAGGCATGCGATGTAAAGAATATTTTAGGTGATTTTTTTACATCTTGGGTTACATTATTGGGGTTTTAGTAAGGATCCCTAACTTTTTTCAAAAAATATTATAGCCTATGTCACTCGGAAATACTGTAGCTCGTAAACAGTGAAAGAATTTTTCAAATCGGTTCAGTAGTTTGGAAGCCTATTCGAAACAAACAAATCTTTCCTCTTTATAATATTATATTATTATTAAGTATAGATTTGATGTCAATTTTTGGGCTCAGCATACTATGGAGAGTGGGCATTCCCCTTTGTATGGAGTGAGAATAGCGGCCCTAGCGCCAAACGTAGGAACGCTGTCCAACTCCATACAAATTAGAATTAACTTTAACGCGATCGAGAAGTTAAAAACTCGCACTAAGCACACAGAGCTCTAGCATAGCTACTGGTGAACTCATCGAGTTCTCATTACTGGTGGTAGGGCGTCTTGTGAGCCCGCACGTATAGAGATCACCACCCTGCCTATACCTGCCGTGAAGCAGTAATGCGTTTCGGTTCGAAGAGTGGGGCAGCCTTTGTATAGGTAAGTAATCCAAGAAGAAGGGGCAGCTTTTTTAACAACTGATTCTTTGTTCCGATGACCTTTTTTCTTTTAATTAATGCATGTGTCGCATTTATCACGTATTACTATTGACGAGACGGTTAAGTATCTGTATTTTAAGCCTATCTTATCTTTTCTTAAGAGATCACTCGAGGATCTTAACGAAATACGTTACTTACTATATACTGTTAGTAGTAGTACAATAGTTTGTTTTATTCACCTAACCTTTATTTTTCGTAGCAAGCTCTTATCGTGTGTNTTTTAATTAATGCATGTGTCGCATTTATCACGTATTACTATTGACGAGACGGTTAAGTATCTGTATTTTAAGCCTATCTTATCTTTTCTTAAGAGATCACTCGAGGATCTTAACGAAATACGTTACTTACTATATACTGTTAGTAGTAGTACAATAGTTTGTTTTATTCACCTAACCTTTATTTTTCGTAGCAAGCTCTTATCGTGTGTGTTTCACGACTATGCGAGAATTATTTATTTTAGTCCTGAAGTCGTTGCAATCATACTGTCCCATGATATATATGTACATACATATTTCTTATATCTTCTATCCGCATATTGAGTCATTAGCTAAGTTCGTTTTAAAAAGATCCTTAGACTCCAAAGTAAGTATTTACAATTAACGTTATAATTATCTACAATCTATACATATCTGAGCTGAATTCAACAAGATCCGGAATACAGTACAAATAATTTTATTTTTATTTGAACGGTTTCAACTAGGAACTGGTTTTATAAAGAGAATAATTGTTATCTTTGTTGACAGTCGTTCATAAATATAGAAACTACGTAATTTTATAATATTAAGTGCACGAGTCGAGTTTTAATTTACTGACCCCGAGGTCAAACGAGTCTACCAGTACAGTTTATGCTTTCATACTATACAAACAGATTTCAATTAAACATAGACAGCCTTAATAACTTTAATTAAATCATATTTCGCTTAAGAACCCGTTAAACTTTTCGTAACAAAATTGCGAGAGTTTATAGTGTTTGATGCACAGGGGTGATCGAAAATAATTACTTATTTTATTTTCACAAATAAATTAATATTTTAATTTTCGTTACCGTTTTTAGGCTCAAAATGCATTCCCGCGTGATATATTAGTGTAAAATAGATTTTAATTTTTTTTTTTGGTGTTGTAAGCAGACTCATTACTGCCTAGTGACGCCATAGCTGTTAGTTCCCGTAAATTAGAGTTGTCAGATATCATAGTTGAACATTATAGTAAGTTGAAGACATTGTTACATGTCATTTCTAGTACCATCTCAAAGTCACGATTTCTACTTTGAAATCTAAGATACATAACAACGATGTCAGGCTTAAGTCTATTAGCGTCATCGTTAATCACCGTAAAACCCTGACACGAAAATTCTCGTTCCCACCATAGCTTTATCTCAAAAGCGACATTCACACGTGACAACTTCAATTACGGTAATTACATACAAACTCGACACTGTCATCCTTACGCGCGGTGTCATGCGCACGTCATATGCCCCGCCCACCTGTCGCGAAGCCAGCGTTAAGACATTACGCGTCATTCCCGCCCACGCGCCTTACCCGTGGGGGGCGTGCGAGAGCCACGTGGAAAAACTCACGTAAATTTATTGCAATCCTTTATAAGCCATTGCTCTGTGACCGCTAGCATATCTTGATACTCCACAGTGTAATTACAAAGAGGACTTTAAAAAAAGGAAGATTATCTTTTTTTGGGATAGAACATTTTTGTTTCTAACTGTACTTAAACTTACAAATTGTTTAACTTGAAGCCGTGTTAGTAGAAATCGAGAGTATTTTGTCAGATTATGATACTATTTGCACTAATTGTGTTAAAAATTCCAGTTATACAATAAATGAAAATAGATTGTACATATATTTAAAGTAACTCAAAAAATATTTTAAAATTTTTGATACTTGCAATTTAACGTCTTGAATTTTAGTCCTTTTTTAAAATTGGTTGCATAAAACATACATCTGAACTTTTCTTTATAGGTTATCTGGAGCTAGATATCTATAATGACAATAACATAGCCACATTACATGTATACCATATAAAGCCAATTATAAATGTGGTAAATAAACGATAAAATACATAAAATTCAAATCAGCTTAACAAACATAACCTTTATTCTCTTCTAAAGCTAACAATTAAGACGAAAAATCCACATCAAATTGTTTATGGTGAATTAAAATTTCAAGACCACCGGCCTTGTGTTCCCCAACGTTTTATTAGAACGAAGTGAAATTATTTAATCATGCACACATAACATAATTGCTTTAGGCCTCCCCGCCCATAACGATGTAAACGCATTGTAATTTATGCAAACATGTCGACGAGAATAGGCGAATGTATAATGTGGACAGAGTGTTTGTACTCTGAATCGTTTGTTAGAATTCAAACTCTGCTTTGAAGAATGAAATCAACAAGATGAACTTAAACTGTTTTTGTAAGCATAATCCATATAATCGTCTTCTCGCAATAAAACTGTATAAAAACTTACAAATTTTACAGGGTAGTGTTTTAAAGGTTTAAACATGTGATATTTTTAATATTAATCGTCTTTGCAATGTTTGTTTTTAATTTTTCACCAG